ACACAACTCATTCCAACACCAAAAGGCTCATAGTCAGATGCTGTAATCATCACGAGGGGTGCAATGTTAGGATTCGGGCCATTAACAGCAAGAGACACGGCCACTAGGTCATATCCCGTGCGGTCAACACACACACATGTGTGTCATCCATAACTTCCCAAGGCCATCGACAGTTGAAATCTAGGGTGGTTGCTGCGGCTATCAAGCATCTGATTAAGGCTGAACAGGATCTGAAGGTGAAAGTCATAATCGCTGACATTGCAAGTCGTTATGGTTATATGATTAACTATAAGAAGGTGTGGCATGGAAAGCAGAAAGCTCTGGCCGCCGTCTTTGGTGATTGGGAAGAATCATATGCATTCCTTCCCAGGTTAATACTGGCATTGGAGGCGTCTAACCCTGGGACTGTGTTCTCCCCTCGATACCAAGATGAAGAGATACAACCCCCAGAGGCAGGTAACGAACGCCATTTTCGCAGACTGTTTTGGGCATTCAAGCCTTTTATTGATGGTTTTGGCTTTTGTATCCCTGTGATTACTGTGGATGGTACATTCCTTACCGGCAAGTACAAGGGCACTCTCCTGATTGCCAGTGGGGCGGATGCAAACAGACAAGTCTTTCCTTTAGCCTTCGCCATTGTTGAGGGAGAGAATGCTGATAGCTATGGATGGTTTTTCCGACAAATCCAAATCCACGTCACCAGGAGGATGAACCTGACAATAATCTCTTATCGGCACGCCGGCATTAGAGCTGCCATCTTAGGCCTGGATCCAGCCTGGAATTGGTCCCAAAGGTGGTGCATACGACACTTCAAGAGCAACTGGAACCATCATTTCAAGCGGAAGAAGCTAGCTGATAATTTGTGGTGGATTGGTAACCTCTCTATTGCTCTCAATTAACAATATCTTGTAATATGGGGAGTGGTGCACTTGTTAGACTCTTTCTAAAGAGATGCATGCCTAAGGAAATGGGGTTTTAAGCGATTATCATGGTCCTCCCATTTCCTGGGAAAATCGGGTTTTAAGCGATCTTCGGATCCCCCCTTTTTCTGTCAAACATGCTGTGTTTCTAAGGAGATGTATACCTCTCCTAAGAGTCTAACGAGAGTCTGACCGTGCAGTTTGAAATTGTACTAAATTGAGGATCATTAACTAACATACTACTTTTCTGTGTGTTATTCAGCGGTTGCATACCAGGAGAAAAAATTTCAGGAGAAGTTGCAGAAGCTGCGCGAGTTATGCCCTGAAGGGGCACAGTGGCTGGATGGACACGACCTATCCATGTGGACATTTCATAAAGATGGAGGGAAAAGATGGGGTATTGCCACAACCAACTCAAGTGAGAGTATCAACTCTGTTTACAAGGCCGTCCGTGCACTGCCAATCTCTGCCATTGTGGAGATGACTTTTTGGAAAACGAATGCATGGTTCGTGAACCGACTCCACTGGGCAAGGACGAACGAGGCACAGGGAAAGGTCCATGCCTATAAAGTCACTGAAATAATGGATAGTGACAATCGCAAGAGCAGTCGACATAGTGTAACCGTTATGAATCGGGCAACTGGTGAGTATAGCGTGACGACCGGACATCGGGAGGATGGTAGACGGGGGGGGGGGGGGGGGGGGGGTCCGTCACGAAGTTTTGGTCAATTTCAGGACCAAAGTTGGTGAGTGCTCATGCCAGAAGTATCAGGGGAGAGGATGGCCTTGTTCTCATGCAATGGCCGTAATAAAAAACAGGAGCAAAGACCCCCGTCACTTCGTTAGTCCATTCTTCAATATCGACTCACTCAAAAGCACCTACGGACGGAGTTTCCGTGCATTGCCTGATGAAGCTTATTGGCCGCTGTACGAAGGGAAATTGATCGTCCCGCCATTCGGACAGAGGCGTGAACCGGGGCGCCCGAGGAAAAAGAGAATTCAGAATGAAATGGATCAAAGTGGAAGACCACCACGAGGCCCAAGACGATGTTCAGTATGCAAAGTTCCAGGACATGATAAACGAAGGTGTCCCGGACCGATTGGTCCGCAAAATCCGGGTGATGATGTGCCGGAATCAGCTAATGCGACATAATTTTCGATTATCATTCGTCAAGCTAGTTGTAACTCTTACGTTGCATTTAATTGTGTATTGTTGATTGAACGAATTTGGATTATATCAAGTGAAGAGGAATCATCATAATAACAATTTGATCAACACTCAACGAAATACGATAGATTAATTTAAAGGGAATAGTTCCAAGTACATAGAGATAAAAATCAACTCAAAATACATCTCAAGGAAGTTCACGAGCTTCACCGGAACCCACAGTTTTCTTGCTCCTTGTACGTTTGCCGACGGTAGTAACAATAGGTGGTGGGGTGGCAAGTTTCGAGCGGCCGAGGTAGTGTGGCGCTCGTCGGTGCTATGTCGGCGGGGAAGCGGCACTTTCGGGGTCGAGCGGGCGACATCGGCGCTCATACGGTGAGGAGTAGGAGACCACTGCTGATGAGGTCGATTCCATGGGGCGAACTCGAGTTGGCCTGTCGTGGAGGAGCCATCATGCCAAGTCCCAGATGATGTTTGGCGGGGAGATTGGGGGTAGATAGGGCGGGAATCGTAGTATGTTTGGCGGGGATCGTTGTATGAGATCGGGGTGGGAGAATATGGGGCTTGGTGGAAACTCTGAGAGGATTGATGGTAGGTCGAGCGGGGATCGTAGTATGAGCTTTGGTGGTGATTGTTGTGGAAGAAGGGGCGGAAATCTTGGGATGAGGTCGGGCCGACACCTTGGGTGGAACTCGGTCCGGCACCTTGGGTCACAGCCAATGGGGGCGGCACTCTTCACCCCCCATATGGCGTTACCTCGGGCACGCAGTCTTTTTGACAGAAAAAGGGGGGATCCGAGGATCTCTTAATACCCGATTTTCCCAGGTAATGGGAGGATATGATAATCGCTTAAAACCCCATTTCCTTAGACGTGCATCTCTTTATAAAGAGTCGAAGTAAGTGGCGCTATGTATTCGATTAAATTATTGAAAACCACCAACACGATTAAAAAATAAACATAAATTTATTTTATATTACACTAGGCACATTAACAAAATAAAAGAAGGACAAATGGTGAAGAATTGTATGTACCGGGTGATCGTTCCAAACATCCCTTGACCGATGGTTGGGTTGGTCGTACAAGTCGGTTGGATCCACCGGTCCTTGCTCGAGATAATACCGTTGGTTGTATATATCGACGTCCTCCCCAACCTACGAGAAAATAACAACGAAGTTAGTACATAGATTAATTAAAAAACTTATAACAACAACAAAAATTAAACCAGAATAATGAGTACATACCGCTTGAAATTCATCAACATAAACTCCTTCTCCTTGCCACCAATCGGCCATTTTTTCGGCGTAATTCGGACAGAGCTTCGGCTCGGCGGGTTTTTGAGAAAAAAACCTAAGAAATGTTTTCTGATGGCAGATCGGACTTAGCCGCAACCAACAGACTTTTATTTCCTAGACTTTTGGGAGGGGAGGGTTTAGGGAGATTATATCTAGAGAGTGAAGGAAGAATGGGTTGTGGAGTGAAGAAATGAGAGGGGGAAGGGGGGTATTTATACCCAACAGACCGCACCCCTCAGGGGCGGTACGGTAATTTTGCCACCATCAAAATCGCATCTCCCCGATGCGTTCTCCGCCTAAAAACGCATCTCCCCGATGCGATCTTCGCGTCCCGAGGCGTTGAACGCTCTGGAAACTGACGCTCCATTTTTCAAGGCCGAAAAACGCACCTCGCCTGTGCGTTCTTCGATCCACCGCGCGGATTGCTGACGTGGCTGTGCTCCTGCCCGTTTGATCGCACCTCAATCGTGCGGACTGGAAGGCCGCTGGCCACCAAACGTTGAACGCATCTTGGGGATGCGTTTCATATTCTGACTTCGCATAAATCGCATCTTAGGGGTGCGTTTTACGTGGGAAACACATTCTTAGGCTGCGTTTTATTTATAAAACGCACCTCTAAGGTGCGTTCCATAAAAATAGGTGCTACTTTTGTAAATATTTTTGGAAGGGTGCTAGTATTGTATTTTTTTTAAAAAAGGTGCTATTATTGGAAAAATCTCTATTAGAATGGATTGTTTGGCTTGCATGAGTTCATGGTAGAACCCACATGATTTGGCATGAAATCGCAAATACTTTGGATAAACCCAAAGCATTTGAGATATCATTGTCACATGAATTCTAGAATTACATGGTGCACCAATATCATGATATCTGTCCAAAAATAAAACAAGAAAAACAGTGGAATCTCAGATATCATGTAATCTTGAAATTCGTGGGTAGATTACATGCTTACCAAACGACCCCTTAGCACAGAGGTTCGATCCACAACTACCTTACATTTTGCTTTAGCCACACCTTTTTTGTTCTTTTATTACTTTAATCCAACTTCATATGAAAAAGTCAACCTCTATTTAATTTTCACTTGGTGATTTTTCTAATTAAAATTCTTATCATTCTCCTTTATAGAAACTATATGATCCAGGGATTAACAGATATGATTGTCAAAGGAATTAAAATGATGAGTTTCTTGTTAATGATTTAGTTATTTATATTAAATGAAAGATAGCTAAATTTTTTAATTTAGATGCTATTTTGAACAATTATCTCAAAGAATGTTGTGTACTTTTAAAATAATTATTTTAGTTTTATTTATATTTAATTATTTTCGGTCCATCCGGTCTCGAAATCCTGGCTCCGCCCCTGTACCTAAGCAACAAGGTGGTTAGGAGGCAAATCTTAGCTTTAATGGGTTCGCCCTGCTTTCTTGAATCTCTGCTATGATTCATTTTGACGGTCCCGGTTTTAACTTTGTTGTTTGTTGTCTGCTCTTTTCCAATTGGTATTATAGACACAAGAATAGGTGGTTGGCTTATTATCTCTTGGTGTTGGTCATTGATCCGTTCTCTTTTACTTCTACTATACATGTCAGATCCTCAGTGATGTGGAGTTAACACCAATTTCTCTTTGAATCTTTTGTTTCAGGAGGTTTATGCTAATCTCATATGGAACAGAGGTTACTTGTTCAATCTCACTAACTCTGCTCTCTTTGATACTAATCTGTCTAAATGTCTCGCATTCTAAGTAAATTCCAAGGGAAGGCCTACACCAATACAGTGGAAGTGTTTATAGACTTGAGCTATGAAGGGGGATCTCCTAACATGATTTTGAAGAACGCACAGAAATTAACTATGTTGTTGTGTCTTTTGAAACTCCAGTCAGTTATTTAATCACCATATATTTCACAAATGAAAACAAGTCCCGCCGCGGAGCGCGGGCTATGAGACCTAGTGAGCTATTAAGAAGCGGCTCGATTTGAGCCTAAGCCTCAGCAGCTACTTGCGGCTGAGGTTTCTTCTTCTTCTTGGTTTTCACTGCCGGCTTAGCTGCTGCTGCTGCTTCGGTACCGGTTGCCACTTCTGCTGGGTTCTCAATCCTTGCAAAGACAGGATTAGGTTGAGCCATCACCTGACCACCTTTCAACCCACCCCATTTGGTCTCATCCTGCATTGGGTATGGGCAAATGAAGAAACATTGCACTTGAGACAGTAAACCACATCATATAATTGAGTTACAATGATTGGCATAGAAACAGAGAGATAGGCAATACCCAGTTGATGGTTGCAAACTGATCCTCCGAAAAACCGAGTTGTTCATATATTCTCCAGCACAAGCCTGGTGATACAGGGGATAAAGCAATGGCTATGATCCTCATTCCTTCCAGAATAATCACAAGATCCTGTTGCACACGACCACTCAATGATCAAGCTGCCCATTCTTACCCATCTAAAGATGTTTAGTTCAAGATTAATTCCTATAAGTCGGAAAGCGGGGAAATTTGAGGCCAAAATATGGCTCTCAGCTATTCCCCGGACCTTTTTCCCGGCTTCATTGACTTCAGATTTTTAATGTGCAAGAGAATCAATTGAATGATACCCTGGCGGCAGCTTCTGAAGCAGCTCCACCCTGCTTAAATAGAGACCATGGCGCTTGTTCATCCATGTATGCGTTGCCAGCATTCCCAATCTCGAGTACAGCCTCACATGCAGCCGAGAGAGAGAGACTTTCATACTGGATGCGGGCTTTCCCAACCTATTAAAAACAGAGTGGATTAAAGATAATCCTTTATGACAACAGTGGATTTAAAGACGTAAAGATAATCCTTTCTGGGAGCTTTACCAGTTTTTCAACAGTGTCCTTGAATGCACTTCCTTCAGCAGCAATGGCTGAATCCACCACCAAAGTCGATTCACAGTTCTTTCTGAGAAGTCCAAGAGTGCGATTAAGGAGATTTCCTGCACACCATAATTTTTCCATGTCAGTTCCCAATATGATCAGTTTTTTTTTTAGAACCCACCTCAACGTGTAGTACAAATTCTGTGACAATATTTACAATTCAAATTACCTATGGTATTGGCAAGATGTGCGTTGACAATGTTAATGAAACGGTCTTCTGAATAATCACCATCGTTACCGAATTCCACTTCCCTAAGGAAGAAGTACCTAACTGCATCAGACCCAAATTTTTGGACCAATTCATTTGGTTCAAGTGTATTTCCCAATGACTTCCCCATCTTCATGCCATCCTATAATAAGTTTCAAAATAAAAAGTAGTTGCTGCATGAAATAAAATTAGCAGTAAGAGAAAAAGGAAAGACAAGCTTAGGCATCATTCACGGAATATGATTGCAAACGCAGCTTTCATAAGTTGATTTGTATCCATTTAGGTATCCTTTGTGCCAAAGATAAAATATTTTCGTTTGCATTTTCTGAGAGACCAACAGGCTGCCACATTCTTGATCAGTTAGCACAATAACGATGCACTTCACCTAGTGTTCATAATCACCTTCCTGAGTTTGCTGATTTCTGAAGGATGAAGTTTTTCTTCTAGTTTTCTTTTAGCTAAAGACTACCGGTTTATGCAAGAGAACACAATTTAGAGTCTTGGACATGATACATGCAGAAAAAGCAACGAGCCCCCTATAAATCTACAAATATTAAGGGCCATTACTATCATCAAGGTCCGAAAAAATGAGATCTTGGTTTCTAGCACTCCTAGTCCTAACCTTCAGTTTATCAATGACATTTCCATTCACAATAAACATACCTTAGTTAAGAACCCATGCCCAAATACCATCTTGGGAAGGTCAAGTCCGGCAGACATAAGCATAGCTGGCCAGTAAACTGCATGAAAACGCAAAATATCCTGCAAGAAGAAACAGTGAAATATGGTCATAGTATGCATAACAAGCATTAAAGGGTTATAAGGGGAGAATAAGCTAATTAAGTCTTATGCAGATACAGATAAAACCGGTTGTACCTTGCCAATCAAGTGCAGTGCTGCAGGCCAACCAGAGGAAACAGCCTCCTGTAAACTAGTTTGTCCATTCTCCTCTGCAAGAGCTGATATATAACTGCCAGTGAAAAGGAAAAGGCTCAGTTGGCATTCTCGGTGTCTGTAACCAAATGCCTTAAAATAAGTAAGTTAGCAGATGATCAAGACATCTAAAGGAAAGCACCATACCCAAGTAAAGCATCAAACCAAACATATATAGTTTGCCGTTTGTCATTAGGAACTGGAATGCCCCACTCTACAGATGCTCGAGAAATCGAGAAGTCTTTCAAGCCACTTTTAATCCAACTTTGCACCTAAAATAGTTAACATGACAATCTAAGGCTTTAGCACAAAGGGCAGGGACAAACACAAGCTTGTCTGAAAGATAATCCTATGAACAGATGTAGAAAACTTCATACTTCATAGGTTACCAAGAGCAGAACCCATACGTCCACTAATCATCATTTTGGCCATTTGGGCAGAAACTATATCATGATAATGCAGCATTGATTCTCTTACCTCATTCAAACGATATGAAGGCTGAACAAAATTCGGATTTGATGACAAAGTTTCTTCCAATTTTTTTTGGTACTTAGACAAGGCAAAGAAGTAATTTTCCTCTTTGCGCTGTATACATGGTTTTAAGTGGACTGGGCAGCACTTGTTCTCAAGCAACTCCTTCTCATCCTGTAGAAATACAGACGAGCAACATTATGGCACAAACCAACACCTTAATACAGATATATATAGTAAAGAAAGAACGATGATGAGATACTCTTGACTCATTCAAACAGAGATTTATGTGACAGATAACAATGGTGGAAGCAGGAAGCTACGACCTTATATTCCTCACAGTTGACACAGTACAATCCCTCGTAGTCAGCGTGGTAAATGTCACCATTGGCAAGTACCCTCGCATAGAACTCTTTCACAATGGCTTCATGCTTGGGATCAGTAGTTCGAATGAACTTGCCGTATGAGATGTCTAACTGCACTCAAACAAGATGAACAGTCTATATAGCCATCAATACATTGACAGTAAACAAATAATGACGCAACAAGTGGAGGGATAACAAACATACATCTTTCCACAGGCTCTTGTATTGTTGAGATACAATGTCGCAATGCTCATTTGGGCTTTCACCACAGGCAGCAGCGGCAGTAGCAATTTTCTCTCCATGCTCATCCGTGCCAGTGACCAATATAACCTTCTTTCCTAAAAGCCTCTGCCAAATGATTGACGAAGAACCAATTCAGTTCTTCTGAAGCAACAAAGTTAATCTTAATGCAAACAGCCTACTGCCATGTTTATTTCCCAATGAAATCCAGAAACCTGGACAAACCCACAAACTACAGCAAACAAGAGGCGCCCCCGCATCAAAATTCAGACCTGAAACCGGGCGATAGCATCAGCAGCGATGGTTGTGTAGGCGCTACCCATGTGGGGAGCGGCATTGACGTAGTAAAGAGGGGTTGTGAGCACAAATGCCTCCCTTGCTGCGGCTTCTCCTCCATCACTTTGCAAATCCGCGGTGCCGCCGCTCGTTGCGCAGGAGCAGAAAAGGGCTCTTCTTGATTTCGAGTAGGCAGAAGAAAGCACGAAGCTCCGTCGGAAAGGCAGGCGATTCCTAGAGTGGGTAGCCTTCGTGGTGACTGAACATAGAGGGTTTAAGAGGGAGAGAGTGTTCTGAATTGAGTGGTTCAATCTGGCAGCCATTTCGCCCTGTCAAGTTTTTGACGAAACTCTGCCTATGGCATAGGCTGGTCAGTTTTTGAGTTCTCTTCTACTGTTGTAAGGATGCACTGGCGGGAAATGGCTGCTCCGAGGCCGCGGACGGGATGAATGGTAATGAGGAACTGAGAAGAACACCCAGAAACCAGAAGCTGGGGACGAAATTGATTTTTCCTCACCTCTCAAGTCTCAATTGTCTTTCCTATTTCTCTCAAAAGAAAAAAAAAATTTGTCCTTCCTAGAGTTCTGGTTTGATTTGGGTTAATAGTTAATGCTACAGCCTTGTGTCGTGGATCAGGAACGAGTGGGCTGCTAGCATATGGGCCCATAAAAAACCAATGGGAAAAAGGGTAAGAGTTCATCTGAAGCCCAACTGAACAGCAATCTGGTCCGCGATTGCCAATGTACAGTTCAGCCACAGCCCACACGGCTACCAATGGCATCCCATTGTTCTGAAATAGTATCGTACCGGTACGGCGGTACCAATACTTCAATTCAACCACAAAAATATCTAGGCAAAATCTACAGTATAATTTATAGCTGAAAAGTAAAACTGCACCCCTATTCAAATTTTCCTGCCCATAGAGTGATTTTAGGAAGCTTATGTGGCAGAGTGTTAAGCGGGAAAAAAAATAAGAGTCCCCGCCTGATTGCAGAACTAACAAACAAACTGTCCACTACCCACCTTTTCTCTGTTTCCCACGTTGTCATATAATATTCATTTATTTTTTTTGGTGAAATAAGCCCACCTTTTCTACTGGTTATTAAGAGAGAGAAGAAAGTCACGGAAGGGGAAGAGCAATTGCAGGCATATTACAGAGAGAGGGGGAAGGTGAAAAGGGAGGAGAAGGAAGGAGGCTGCTTACCCTTTTACAGAATCGATCTGCGGAAGGAATGGAAGAGGAGGTTTCTTACCCTTTAACTGTTTTACAGATTTGATTGAGGTTGTCCCCTCCGGCGAGAAGCACAATAACTCGCATCAGAAATCTCCTCATATTCCCAATTTCAAACAAATCGAAATTCCTAATTATAAGCAAGTCGACGACCCCACTCGCTGACGGAAGTCCTTGGGAGTGGGGAGATCGCGATTGAGAGTACCGCGGACGATCTCGGCGGCGGAGAGGTTATTGACGAGTGCGACTTTCATCTCCGGCAGCCAGCCCACCTCCACCGCAGGTTCCAGATTACCTCCAGAGATTCGCTGCTATCTTCTCTGTCGATTGCTGCAGCAGACAGTGTTCAAATGCCGGACAAGATTAACGATGTCGACGTACGCACAGAAGAAACAAAACCACTGAGAGGGTTTTCATGGTAACTACTGCCGACGTCACGAACCCTGCTTATTCTCTCTTCTCTACTTCAGCCTGTCCATAATTTGGCTCCAAATCGCTCCAGCTACTCGCATCCGTGGAGGGCGCCCCCATCATTCTCAAGCCATCGATTTTCCCCCTCTTTCTTATTAGCTTAAAACTCATAATTGGTCTTTCTTTTGTTACCGTTGTATGTGATTATCCCTTAAGTTTTGGAGAACTGGGTCTGGACTGTATTGGTTTCTGGTGAAATTGGAGGGGGGGGGTATTTGTATCGATTTGGATGTGTGGTTTCAGCTTACTTTTCCGGTCAAACGCTTAATGCTAAGTTCGCAAGTAAGAGTTGCTGTTCTAAGTGATTAGAGGGCAAAGAAGGGCAGAGTGGAGAAGTACAACATTTTGCTGGACCCTGTCCTTAGTGTAATTCACAAATTAGAAGGTCTTCCACAGACTCATTTGTTTGGAGTTAAGGTTACATTCTGTTGATGATTTATAAAACGTTTGGTGTTTTGAAAATCTAGAATTTCATTTATCCTTGCTCATTGGCGAACGTAGAGTTCGAGTTTGATTAGTTTATGATGGTCGAGGATTTTGGTTTCTGTACTAACAGTTCCATTATTTCCTCTTGGTGGCAGCTACAAAATTAACCGGAACGGGTTCATCATCTAACAGAAGCACTATTTCATATTGCCTCCACTTCTTGCAGAATCAAAAGGTCAACTTCCATCCTCCATCTCACACCATTTACTCTTGAACTCAGTAGGAAAAGAAACACATATGACTTGATTTTAAGCATGTCATGCATTTGGCTGCAAGTGTCAACTTATGGGGTCTATAAACACATATGACTTAGTTTCTGCTTGCCATTCGATCTGCATTTGCTGTCGGTGATGAAGCAAGCATGATAGGGAAGCAAAAGCCAACGTCAACATGGCTGGGTAGTGGCGATTCAGATTTGAAGCAAGCCCATTTTGATTCATGTTGGTGATTTCCACTTTTCTTTTGTTTTGCTAGAAGTATAGTTAATAATGGTCGCTAGCAATATAGAAACACATTCTGCTTATAATGGTCGCGAGCATTATAGGTTATATGCTTTGGTTTTGTTTGTAGCTAGGGATTTATGGTTTACCCATTAGGGTTGCTTCTACAATTTGTAGGCGATCTACTATGATGTACCAGCAAGGGTAGTGGAACTACAGATTTGGAGGTCTAGCGAAGTATAATGCAACTTACGTGAAAATTGCTTCACTCTGGTTTTGACTCAGATCAAATTCGAAGGGGTGGACGCGATTAGAGTGGAAGCTTCTTACACCATGGAGATGAGACTCACTACTTTTATTGCATTCCAGTTGGGGAATGCCAGTAACTAGGACCTTTGAGCTCTCCCATGCAGGTAACCATTGATGCTTGCCTTTTCTTCCTTTCGTATTAAAACTTATGCAATCATAATGGATTTGGCATGTTGCTTATACTTTCATCTCAGTTGATTGAGATGGATGGAAGTGCATGTGAGTCTGGTCAGGGTGGTGAGATTCTGCGCGGAAAAGGATAAGATGCTTATCTATGTGTTCATGCCGAACAGAAGCTTGGACTTCCCACTTCTCAGAACTGGTGTAATTTCTTTTCATGGCTTCATTGTTTTTTTAATTTCAGTATGATCTTAGGGGATTTGTCGATATAATAGAGCAAAGCTTTTCCCTTAAGTTTGGTGATTTTGTCCAAGGTTTTGTTCTTCAAAATTGCTAATTGACAGGTGGTCTGAGTTGAAGTCTTCCTTGATATATGTTTTTTATATTGTTGCTAAGGCAGAGTGTATAATTTGATACTTATGCACCACTTTGAAACATAAAAAGCAAGAATGGATCTTTTCCCATGCTTCCTTGGGATATGTTAACTGTGGTATGTGAACTTCTGGTTATTGGATTGCCTGTTTTCAGCATGGTTTCTTCAGAATAGATCGACTGGAATCTCTACTTTCATAGGTTGGGTTTTGTTTCAAAATTCCCATTTGTCTTCCTCCAACAAGGACGAAGATGTATCATTGTGTACAACTGGAGCTGATTAGTTTTTCTAAACCTAATCTTTTATTGTTATTAGAGAAGGTATCCAACGCATCATTCTTTAAGATGAATGTATTAAGGTAATTTAATTTTTAATGTCATAAAGTACAAAGGTTATGTTTTCAGCATGGTTTCTTCAGAATAGATCGACTGGAATCTCTACTTTCATAGGTTGGGTTTTGTTTCAAAATTCCCATTTGTCTTCCTCCAACAAGGACGAAGATGTATCATTGTGTACAACTGGAGCTGATTAGTTTTTCTAAACCTAATCTTTTATTGTTATTAGAGAAGGTATCCAACGCATCATTCTTTAAGATGAATGTATTAAGGTAATTTAATTTTTTTTAATGTCATAAAAAAAAAAAAAAAAAAAACAAAGGTTATGTTTTGTTATTGGGACTTTCATTGAGAATGAAATCGGGGTAGGTGAAAAGGGCTAAAGAACGAAGAAGTAAAAAGGACAGGGAAACATAGAAGAAGTAAATGGTTATACAGAAATGAATTGAAGCTGAACAAAAGAGCTTAAGCTGCAGTTTAGTCGAAGAATATCAGTAGAATCATCTTTCAACATCTGGCATATTTTTATCTTCCATTGTAAAGAATATAACTAATTATATCAATTTGAGTATGCAAATTTATAAGGTGCTTAACCAATGGTGGACAATTGAAACAGATAGCAAAATACGAATGAGTGTCTCCATAAACATGAAACCCAAGATCATGCAAACATTGACCTGTATTCTTTATCCTACTTGCAACGAATGAGTTTATACGATCATTTCAATTGATTATAGAAACATAGCATTTAAACTATAGGTGCATTGTGTTCAAATTCTTAGTAATCCACCCAACAAGCTGGTGCACTTACCTAGCTTACTTTTAATGTGGAATGGAAAAGAGGAAGTCCCATTTTAAAATTCCAACATCCAGAGATAAAATTGGAAGGATATTTGTCACAGGAAATTAGTTATAATCATATTGTTATTGTGAATTTTGTTAAAATAGGATAGTACTACACTGATTAATACACACGTATTGCAAAAAAATGTATTTATACAAATATTTTATATGGGTCACAAACAAGAACTAATGAGAAGTAACAGATGTTTGAGATTGGTGTACGTAGAACGCTTATGTTATGAATTTTATCTTTGGCCAACTTCCTTTCACCCGGTGTAATATTTTTATACTTTAAATGTTTATTGTGCCATTCAAAAAGCTGTGCACTAGGATTTTCTTAATGGTTGTGGGAATTAGTTAATAATCTACATAATAATTTATAGTAGAATTAGAAAATTGTCACCGCCATTTAATATTTTCTGGATGGAGAGTGTTTTTTGGACGAGCAATTTGGAAAGCCGGAATGCTTCTGGTATGTGTTAGCGCGGATGTTAAACTCTCTTTGGATTTTAGTAGGTCCTAACACTCATCCGACGCACCAAGAAGTATGCTATCTTTGCTCCTGCCTTCCTTTTTATCCCGCAACGGTAACTACATACCAAAATTTGCTCCCTTCAATTTCTGTTGTTATCTTTATTTGGTTTCAATTTAAGTAATCGGGGTTAGGTTTTGTGAAAAAGTCAAGCTATATATTGGGTAATCAGGAAGAAGAGTAGATATAATATATGGAGGGGTTGAAGAGAGGGCGGAATATGCAGCAATTGTCAATTTTTTGGCGAAGGGACCCAAACAACTCAAATATTTGGAGTTCTTTTATTTTTCACACCGCCTTGCAGCATGATGAACAGAAGGAACATGTTCATCTTCTTCCTCTCCCGCTGGTGGCTATAGCGAGCTAAGGAGCAAGGAAAGCTGTTGATCGGCGGAGGAATCAATTCAGACAAATATTACTTTT